AATTTCTAATTCCCAACAATGATTAAAATGACTGGTCGACAGAGTACAAGAACATCTAACATGATCTAAATTTGGATTTCTATATTGGTTGCTCCAAAGAACTAATTCCAGATATTCTCAAATTGGCAAACCTAGTAGACCTCGGACCTGAACTTGTTCAAACACAGTTATAGTTATAAGGTGTAAAATGCATTACTACAGAGGTTGAAGTACCTGATCCTTAAAACCACGTGACAGCATTTCATCAGCCTCGTCTAGCACAAACATTCTGAGGTAATCAGGACGGAGAGACTGTCTTCGCAGCATGTCAAACACACGTCCAGGGGTGCCAACAATAACATGAACACCAGCTGCGAGAATACGTTGATCCTCCCTGACACTAGTCCCACCTACACAAGCATGGACCTTAACCCCAAGGTAGTCACCAAGTGCTCGCATCACCTTCTCAATCTGTTGAGCAAGTTCACGAGTAGGTGCTAACACCAACGCTTGACATTGAACTAAACCATAATCAAGCTGCTGCAAAATTCCAGAACAAAAAGTAGCTGTTTTTCCTGTGCCAGACTGAGCCTGCTGAATTACATCAAGTCCCTTGCAAAATGGAACTATACCTCTTTGTTGAATTGCAGAAGGTTTCTCAAAACCTTCAAAAAAAGCATCAAAGATTGCATGCAGCAGAAAAGACCATTAAGATGTTGGAATATAAGGTCGCCTCTTCATAATATCATAAGGCACAAAGAGGATGGAAGTGGGAGATAAATATGAAGCACAACTAATATACAGAGAACTCCACTCTTGTGTAACAACATAACAAAATGAGTTTTTATAGGTGCTAAAAGACAATTCTCTCGGCACTACTAAATGCTATCGCACACACGCACCATGAACTTGGCCATCTTGAAAACACAAAAGCATGCATCTAATAGAACAAAAATCTTATCCTTGGAGCCATATGGATAAAATCATACACGTATTATTCAAAATTATTTTTCCAACATTAGAAGCACGGAGTGGGAAAAGGGAAAAGAGGAGAAGGATAATTTTTGAGTTTCAGCACCACTTTGAAGAAACAAAATTAATAAGTTTAAGCGAATTAAATTAAATGGTACTTCTGAACAAGAACCTACTAAAAATCAGCTGGACGCATCGACTTTTTGTGAATAATGGACTGCTTATCAGAATAAAAAGCAAAATCGAAAGAATTTCCGTACTAGAGAAAATTAAAAGGTCTACACACAGTACCATAGGCATAAATGCCCCTGAGAAGGTTCTCTTGCAGACCCATAGCATCAAAACTGTCATAAACTTCGTCATATGATGTAAAGAAATCTTTTCCATCAGCGGCAAGTCTGCACCATATAAGTAATAATAGAGACAAGTGCAAGTTTCAGCCGTTCACTGAGCAAGCAAACAAATATATATAAAAATGGTAATGATTCAAGGAAAAAGCTAATGTTAGTATTGTGCAATGAATCTCATGATAACTTACAAATCGTTCATCTTAGAATCATATTGACGGGCATCAAATTGAGCTCCATCTGGTGCCAAACGTGCCATGACTGTAATGTACGTACTTTATGCATCAGTAAATACTAGTATCGCCCATAGATCAAAATGTTGAACCAATAAGTGAAATAGAATCTCAAAATGATTGATTCTTGTCAACCCTCCCAAAACAAATATGATTCTGTAAACCTTAACAGACAAAAAGAATTTTTGTTACATCGCTCCTATTTTAATGGATCTCACAAACTACACAAAATGGATACTTTTTGCGAACCTTAAACTACAGATCTCATTCATTTCAATAACTATATATCTTCTGAAACTTATCAGAATCTCACAAACACAACAATCAACATGATCAAAAAGAGGAAACATTTCCTCTAATAGTATCTGTCGCGAACAGAACATACAACACTCTGCATTACCACAACTAAGTGCTTTCTCTGCACCCAATGGTGTAGCCACATATAATGAAGGATAATCAGTTGAACACCCTTCATCGTAAAATTGTACTGTATATTTACAAAAAATTATAGTGCATGTATATGAATTAAAAATTACAATTTTTTATACATCTAAATTAAATCTTGAACACACTTAACGAAATGCCTGGTTTCGCCACTGTCTGCACCTAATGAAAAGGTTGATCTTCTCCACTCTCCGATGTTCCAAAGCCAACAAAATAAGATCGACAAGAAATACATCCCAAAACAATGTAAATGAAAGAATTAAAGAGTTTGTAGCAAATTTCTCCATGATTTTCTCAGCGATCAGAAGACAAAACATTCGACAACAAACAGATATAATCCAGAAGGCAACGTTAATTAACAAACAAATGAGATGTAATTAACATGCAAAAATGAAGAAAAAGACAAGATTTAATGAGTTCAAACCTCGGAATGACGATGATAATAACTTTAGCAAAACTGAGAATTAAACAGAAAATTTTCTGTTTGATAGAGCTATCAAGATGGGGTCTGAGTGAGGAGCTGAAGAAACGAGGCAAAAGTCTTTCTAAAAGCATATAAAACGGGTCTGAAGACAGGTGTCAACACAACATTTCATGCAATTCGTTTGCTGTTTTTCCCCCCCCACGTAAATAGTGTATTAGTAAAGTTTTACACTAGCGTATAAGTTTGATTAGAGTAAAATTTCTTGACATTGCTCATATTGTATTATAATTTAAACCCATAATTACATCATTAAGATAACGGAAAATGGCCAAATATATCCCGTACTATCAAAAAAGACTTAAATGTACCATTCGTTATATTTTAAGTTTATATATACCCCTGTTGTTATAATATTGGTTCGAATATATTCTTTTCCCGTTAAGTTTGTCCAAAGTGGACATCCAATCCTTCGTGGCACTGATATTTGATGATGTGGATGTCACATGGATTGCCACCTCTCGCCCCATGTGGGTAAAATGGATTAGAGGCGTTGAGGTGGCAATTCATGCATGTGGCATCCACCTCATCAAATATCAGTGCCACGTATGATTCGATGTTCAACTTAGACAAACTTAACAGAAGAAGGTATATTTGAACTAATAGTATTACGGCCGAAGTATATTTGAACCCAAAATATAACGAAATATATATTTAATATTTTCTCATAGTAAAAGAGTATATTTGGCCTTCGGCGCTAAGATAATAACAAATTTACTAACAATCCACGAGAGTTTTCCAAGAGAACACTTGAACTAAAGAGATAAAGGAAAATATTAGAAATCCATTCCCACTAAAAAAAGAAAATAAACGACAGGTCATGAAATATGCATATACCGTACTTTAGCATTTACATAAGGAACTCTAAAAGTATGGTAAAAAACAATAATTAAAGACTTTCTAATTAATAATACACGGTACAATCAAATCTCTCAGTCTCGTTTGTTCTTATATTTTTTGGATATTATAGTGAAGTGCTGTTATAAAGAATATATATTATAACCTAACATAAAAAATTGTTCCAAAGAAAATTTAATCATTATAATGAAGTGTCGTTATAAATGATAACTGTTATAGAGAGGTCTCGACGGCAGAAAGGAAGATAATATCACAAAATGAGGAGTTACTTTCTGAAAAGCTACAGCAAATCCTTCTATTACTACAGCCTACAGCTGGATCAAGTAATTCAATGATTTACATTTCCTTACTGGTTTTTATCATTACCTACCGCTTTATTACCAGGATTTAGAAAGCTTGTTTGAGCTGAATAATTATTTCAATTTATTTTATTATTTTTTCCTATTAACTAGTTATTAATCATAATTAGTGATTATGTATCGAATTAAGAAGTTCTTCCCATTAATTACTAAATATTACATCAATAAGTTTTCTCTTAATTTGGATAATTGGAAATGATTCTCATAATCTAAAGTTCTAAATCAAATTAGTCAGAAGTATTTGATATACTCTCAGATTTGAATGGCATGAAAATGTATGTAATTCTTGCATTTTATGCGACACTCTTATTGTTTTAGTGAGTCGATAGTTTTTTCTTTGACAAGAAGATTTCTTACTTTGTGAAACATTTTAAATTATACAAAATTATGAGTTATATTAGTTTTATGTGAGTTTTAAATACGTAAATTTATTTTAAGTAAATTAAAGAATCACTAAAATGAAATGATTTGGTATTATATATGCCCGAACTTAATGAAATGAATGAATGAAGTACAACATAAGGGAGAAATTCAAAAATAGCCAGATTTATAACTGGTTATTCAAAAATAGGCCAGTTTCAAAAGTAATCGAAATTTAGCCACTTTTCATGTAAAGATAAATCTGAGCGAAAACATTGTTTAAAACCCGGAAAATACGCCAGTACATTATACTGGAATTCCAGTATAAGTATGCTTGAACTCCAGCATATTATACTGGAGTTCCAGCATAATATGATGGAGTTCCAGCATAAGTACACTAGAACTCCAACATAATATACTGGAGTTCCAGCAAGTATAATTGTCCAGTATAATATACTGGAGTTTGGAGCACCGGTGCTCCAGTCTTCAGTATATTATACTGGAGTCAGCAAAGTATACCGGTCCAGCATAATATGCTGGAGTTGATACACAGGTGCACCGAACTCCAGTATATTATGCTGGACTGGTCTCTGTTGCAGAAAAATAGTGGTTATTTTTTATTGACTTCGTAAACGCTGGCTATTTTTGAATGACCAGTCCGAAAACTGGCTATACCGTGCTATTTTTACACAACATAATGGATCCAAGTTCATCCGGCCCAAAAGTAGAATACTGGACAAAGGCCCATTTACAGTTTCCAGATCCAGTTCATAATCGTTGGTTCCTATGCTAGGTGCTCTCTCTCTCTAAAGTAAATCTATTCGATATTTTTTGCCCTCTCAGTCTCAGATGCTCTCAATCAATCACTTTCTGAAACGATAGATCTCGGTCACCCTACTGTATCACTAAACATTGACAAGGTTCGATTTCCAATTTTTTTCTGTATATTCGCATTGATACTTTATCTTTCTTTTTGCGTTTTTAGGGAGAAATTTATTTATTATGATTTAGATCTTACGGAACTGAATTTTTGCTATATTTTGCACCTTTATGCTACCAGTAGACACTGCTTAAGTTTGACTTACTGTTTGTTAGGGTGAATATCGTAATTCAATGGTGAAATTTTGATTTTTTTTTTTGGTTTCCAATATTTCACTACTATTAGATTATGTAAAACTGATTTTAGAACAGTAATGAAAAGTTGATGCTTGATCAGGCTTACGTTGATAATGTGGAATTCAGCTTGGAAAACAGCTTTGCTATCCTCGTCAACAGTTACAATTGAGCTTATTTTATTCTCAGATAGGGAAACTTGAATATGATTTGAAATTATAGTTAAATCATGCATTAATTGATGTGCAAACTCACACGGGAACACATATAACTCAAATAGTGTTTGAAGGGGAGCCTTGGCGTAACTGGTAAAGTTGCTTCCATGTGACCAGGAGGCCACAGGTTCGAGCCGAGTAAAAAGCATCTTGCAGAAATGTAGGGTAATGATGCGTACGATAGGCCCTTGTGGTCCGGTCCTTCCCCGGACTCCGCGCATAGCGGGAGCTTAATGCACCGGGCTGCCCTTTTATTGTTTGTCAGGACGTTTTCTATTCATCTCGAGTAGCAAATACAAGATTCCTTGTTTACTCTTTTCTTTCCAGTATTTTGATTATGATTTCTTTTTTAGTATTTTACGCGTCACAGCAATTAGGAATCAAGAATCTATATCTTTAGATCAAAGAAGGTTCTAGCTGTTGGAATAATGGTATCTTTCTGTGGTATTGTGTTCAGCTCGGTCTCTGTGCATATATAGTTGTGATTATTACGTACATGCATATAGGTCCGAACCCATTTCTCAAGGAAGTAGTGGGTGCAGCAGTACTCTGCATTTTACTGACTTAATGTCCATTATACACCTTCTGCTGTAGTACCTTTATTAGAGCTCATGGACTCTACCCGCATGTATGCCGTAAATCTCGTATGTATTTGCTAATATGTTCTCCATGTTGCTTATGCGTTTTATACTTAGTGCTGGATTTTAATTTATGACGTTATGGCAGAGAATAATATATTGAAGTTGGGAAAATGGCTGACGACAGTAAGGCAACTGAGAACCATAGCGTCACTTCTGATAATAACTTATCTCCAGAGAGCTGTAATGAGGTATCAATTGATTCCTTAGCACGACAGGTGCAAGAATCTCTCTCACTGGCGAAGAAGCATAAGTTTTGGGAGACTCAACCAGTGGGCCAGTTTAAGGATCTTGGAGATACAAGCTTGCCCGAAGGTCCTATTGAACCTCCAACACCCTTATCTGAAGTTAAGCAGGAGCCTTACAATCTTCCTAGTCCATATGAGTGGACCACCTGTGATTTGGACTCCGAAGATATGTGTAATGAGGTCTATGTTCTTCTAACAAACAATTATGTCGAAGATGATGAGAACATGTTTAGGTTCAATTACTCAAAGGAATTTCTTCGATGGGCACTTCATCCTCCGGGTTACTACAAGAGCTGGCACATTGGAGTCAGAGTGAAGACCTCGAAGAAATTGGTTGCTTTTATTACAGGGGTACCGGCAAAGATACGCGCTAGAGATACTGTTGTGGTCATGGCAGAGATAAACTTTCTGTGTGTTCATAAGAAGCTTAGATCAAAAAGACTTGCTCCTGTCATGATAAAGGAGGTCACGAGGAGAGTTCACTTGGAGAATATTTGGCAAGCTGCTTATACAGCTGGGGTGGTCCTTCCGACACCTATATCAACATGTCAATATTGGCATAGATCTTTGAATCCAAAGAAGCTTATCGATGTTGGGTTTTCTAGGCTTGGCCCGAGAATGACGATGAGCCGCACAATAAAGCTGTATAAGTTACCTGATCAGACTGTCACACCTGGGTTCAGAAAGATGGAGCCCCATGATGTTCCCGCCGTTACTCGGTTGCTTAGGAATTACTTGAAGCAGTTTGCAGTTGCACCTGATTTTGATGAAAATGACGTGGAACACTGGCTTCTGCCAAAGGAGGATGTTGTTGACAGCTATCTGGTTGAAAGCCCCGAGACTCATGAAATCACGGACTTCTGTAGTTTTTACACACTTCCTTCATCGATTCTTGGTAATCAGAATTATTCCACTCTGAAGGCTGCTTATTCTTATTACAACGTTTCCACTAAGACTCCATGGATTCAGTTGATGAATGATGCCCTCATTGTGGCAAAGCAAAAGGATTTTGACGTTTTCAACGCCCTAGATGTTATGCATAACGAAACTTTCTTGAAGGAACTTAAGTTTGGCCCTGGTGATGGGAAACTCCACTACTATCTCTACAACTATCGACTAAAGCATGTTTTAAGATCATCAGAACTTGGGCTTGTACTGTTGTAGTTTGTGCACTGAAGATTGTTGGCTGCCTGGGAAGCATTTTTGGTAATATGTGTTCAGTTCTCGCTTTAGCGCCCCCTTAATTGCCCTGTTAAACTTTGTTTGCATCCATGTCTAGATTTAGGCGCCAGTGTGAAACTTCTGAATATAATTTCTTTTTTCCTCTTAATTTAATTGTACTTTATGATGTCTGATCTTCCATGGTTCATCCATTTTTGCTCCCAAGATCATAAGCATTCTTAACTATGGAGAAATAATTTCTTTCTTATCTCTTGTTAATTGTCATCTTTTGCACAATTCCAGAATCTTTTCTTTTCTTGATTTCCCTTTGGAATTTTGAAAGCAATTATATGGAGTATCATATTCAAAGATTGCTAGACTAATGACTGGTCTAATTTTCTTTTGCATATGCTTGGATTGCATATATGAAGAATTCTAGTAGGCTTTTCTATACCGTGAAATATGGACCCAAGAAAAAAGAGAATAATTTATCTACTTTGATTAGAAAATAAGTTCCCTCCAAGTTATTCCCCCTTCCCATTGGAAGAAACAATGCATTTGTGGGGATAACAAGCTGATACTCTGTTAACAAGGCAATCTTAACTTACAGTGCTGTTGATATATAAGGATATAGGGTTTGGGTTGTCATATTTTGATTGGATTGGAAATACTACTTAAGAAACTAAGTCAAAATAGAAATCTTGTTGTGGTTTCTAAACCCTACTAATAGCCTGGTTGGCCAAGCTTCTAAAATTAGCTTATTTTGATAAGTGTTTTTCTCAAAAGTACTTCTGGTAAGAAACAATTTGCTAAATAATTTGAAAAGTACTTCTAAGCAGAAATTTGTGTTTGGCCAAACTTTTAAAAAGTGTTTCTAATAGCCTGTTTGGCTAAGCTTCTTTTAAGGCAAAAACATTTTTTGTTGTTGTCAAAAGTGCTTTTTTTTCTAAAATTAAGGTGTTTGGCCAAGCTTTTGAAAAGAAAAAAGTGCTTTTGAGGAGAAATAGAAGCAGTTTTGGAGAAACAGAAAAAAAGTAGCTTCTCTTCAGTGCACTTTTCTGAAAAGCACTTTTGAGAAAAACACATTTAGAAGCGGTTTTTTAAAGCTTGGCCAAACACTAATTGTTGTTCAGAAGTGTTTTTCAAATTAATTAGTCAAACACAAACTGCTTTTCACCAAAAGTACTTTTGAGAAAAAGCACTTCTCAAAATAAGGTGATTTTTGTAGCTTGGTCATACGGGCTATAAGTGTATTTTTCTCAAAAGTACTAATTCTTCTTTTCCAAAGCTGCTTCTGCTTCTACTCAAAAACAGTTTTTTTTGTTCCGAAAGCTTGGTCAAACAATTCGTACTTTGAAAAAATAAATGCTTTTTGACTTGATGGAACTTGGCCAAACAACCTATATTAGTTTGAAAACTTGAAAGGATTCGTACAAAATCGATGTAGATTTGGTTGTTTCTCATTTGCTTTCAATACAACATAATTATCAAGCGAACAATTCAAACACAATTTATTTTGTTAAACTTTCTCCCAAAAATATTTTTCGAGAAACAAACCAAAGGACTATCTAAACGCACCCTTAGAAAAACAAAATGCGTAGGTTAGTCTTTTGGGCTTGTACCTAATCATGTACAATGTTTTATTACAAGTAATCATGCTTGTTGTTTAACGGAGAAAAAAATATACAGAGCTGGCTGATTCAGTATGCCAGCAAATGTTTCTATTCAACAATATTGTTCCTCACCACTTAAGGGGCAAAGAAAAAGGTCATTTGAAACTCTATGAACAAGAACAAGACAGCTTGTATGGTTATGCCTGAATTGGAATGACTAAAAGATTTTGCATTGGAAAGAGGGGCCAGGAACAACAATGGTTATGTCTCCTTCAACCTATTAGACCCTAATTGCCCTTAACGTTAAATTTAAACCTGAAATTATCCCTATTTTAATAGAAGTTGAAGATGTGAAATACGTGAACTTTAATTACAATGTGACACCTGCTACATAAATTTTATTCCCTTCTCTGTATAGGAAGAACTGTTGACAGAGATGCTCCCAGACACAACTCCCGAGGCATCTTTGTACCATGAATCTTAGGATTCTACCACCACCCACAGATAACCACCCCCATCGCGACCAAAACCCAGCAAAAACCTCCGACCAAGGGCCACCCATGCGCCCTCACGCGCAGCCCTCTTCTGGCGACCTCTCCGCCACGCGTCGACGCGTGAGGAACATTCCAGCCAGATCTCGACCAGCAGCCTTCAGACAACCTGTTCAAGAGGCTATTCCGAGCCTACCCATCGAACTTTTAACAAAATCCGACGACTTTCACTATTTTTCGGCGACGGGGAGGTTTTCTCCGACCAGATTTCAAATTTTCTTCTTCAGTCAGCCTCAACGCGAGGTCTTCGGGACGATCCCTTTTAGAAATGATGGACTCTACTGAGAGAAACTCCTACTTCTCTTTAGAATCTAGAAAATTGGAAAAATATCTTTTATCAAAGCTGCCTCTTGGCCAACCCTAGAACTTGAGGGAAGATGTCATCGAAAGCTCGACGTAGGGCAGAAGCCACACTTCTCACTGTCTGAGGAGCACACTCTCAGGTGCAAGGGTTTCTTGAAATCTTGTCTGATTGGATCTTTCTCCAAATGGGTTGGTTCTCAGAGGCTGTTAGGAATTGGGCAGCAGATGCATGGAACGTTAATGACGGGCTGAAAATAACACAACTGGGGGATACGCAATATCTCTTTCAATTTCTCGACGACTCTTAAGCTTCAGAAATTCTTGTTAGAGGAAATATATGGTTTGATGGGAACTTTTTACATCTAGACAGATGGGTGGAGCACGATGGGTGTCTCGACCATCGTTTCACTAGCGAAACATTGGTGGTCAACATGGTGGGTCTCCCGGTGCATCTTTGGTGCCTTGACCTCTTCAAGAAGATTGGGGAAATCTGTGGGGGCTTCATTGATGTCACTTGCAGCCTACATGATCTATCGCGAGTGAGGATTGTGGTGAGGAAAGGGGGCAGAATCCCTGTCAGTCTCCACTGTGGTGGAAGATGACTACCTGAGTTATAGGGTGTGATTAAGCCCTGAATTTCGCCCTAAGTTTGTGCTTGTGATAGTGGCGGAAGAAAAGGGAAGGTCAAATAGAAGGGAGGGGAGGGCTCACCGGATCAGTGGTCTAAGCCAGAACCAGATGTTAGATCGAGAAGAGACGAGAGGTTTGAATTTGGGAGAAGAAGACAAAATTTCAACAGGAGGGAAAGACGTGAATGAGTTAGTGATGCGGGCTGGAAAGGTAGAATGGGCCGGTCATCTTCTAATTATCCTAGGGACAGGCAAGTTTTTAGCAAGTATAGGTTGGGCCTCCTCACATGGGCCCAACAACTTTTCCCAATTCCATTAGAATTGATCCTAAGGGGCCCAGATTATTTCAAGCTGCGTCTGTTAAGGCTCCTAAGTGTCACACCTCCTTTTTCCGCCCCCGCAAGGGTACAAAGAGTTTTTTCCAATTAAAGGACAATCGAAACGGGATTTATTTATTTATTTCAG